ACAAACCAAAACCCTTTGACTAAAAATTATTTTCCCCCATAAACTCAATAAATTTACTTCTCAACTACCTCTCATCAATTATTATGTTTAAATAATAAACGATACCTTTGAAGTTGCAGGCTCTCCCACCATTGCCACGAATATTCAGCCCCGGAATACCATCACCATCTTCACAAAACAGTAAAGCTGTTGAGAACCTAATACATGCCAATGTGTATTTTGAATTTCAAATTTACTTATTGGTTGTAATATAAAATAAATTCCTGTTAAAGATTTTTAATATTTAACTTCTCTATTAATTAATGCATTCGCTTTTTAATCTAAACAAACTTCATTTCTAAGTAAAAAGTCTCTATTTCAACAGTGAATCCACCTAAACAAACCAAAACCCTTTGACTAAAAATTATTTTCCCCCATAAACTCAATAAATTTACTTCTCAACTACCTCTCATCAATTATTATGTTTAAATAATAAACGATACCTTTGAAGTTGCAGGTTCTCCCACCATTGCCACGAATATTCAGCCCCGGAATACCATCACCATCTTCACAAAACAGTAAAGCTGTTGAGAACCTAATACATGCCAATGTGTATTTTGAATTTCAAATTTACTTATTGGGTGTAATATGTGTGTTTATCGCCCGGGGGATAGTCGAGGGGTGGAGGACGCAGTAACGCAGATAGGTCTGAGGCCACGTCGAACCAAGTTTCCACCACACTTGGCAGAATGATGGTAAGAACGGTGGCGGGAGGGATAACTGTACACCCCCCCTCGGGGCAACTATATCAGAGTAGGTGTTTACCTAGCCGTTGAGTGCACACGCTTCATCTGCCCCTTTATGAAAATCCACTTGGACGGCGATGAAGCCAGGTGCATGGGTTATTACTGGTATATAGACCATCATTTATGAGTCGGCAAATGAGTTTGTTCAAAACCATGTTCGAGTTTGACGTGAGCCATTAGAGCGTGAGGGAGTGGAGTTGTATCTGAGTTAGAGAGCTAATTCATCGGGGCTGAGGTTGCAGGGAATGCGAAATGCTGACTCAAAATAGTGCCTGATTTGTAGTGATGCTGCGAGACATTTTGTGAGACATCACGAGAATAAACTTTGGAGAGACGATGTCGGTTGGAATGAACGGGGACATCTTCGCTCTCGTCTCGGTCTCAAAATAGGGAACAGCGACTCCTCTCGTGATCTCGGTTTTTACTTTTCGCGGTTTTTATATGTAGAAAATCGAGACGAGACGAAACGAGACAAAATCGAGATTTTATATTTAAAAATATGAAGAACTTGAGATAGAGATGACATAAATTGACTCGGAGTCATCACGAGAGGAGTCGACTGCGTATTTCGAGACGGAGACACGAGTCTCAGTCTCGCGTTTTGTCTCCTAGAATGTCTCGTAAAGAGTTTTGCCTCGTAAGGTTTTATCGCCTGACAGTTCCCCCGAAATTTCCCTCCGAGTCAATTTATTTCGAGATTGAGACAAGAGTCGTTTTGTCTCCTAAAATGTCTCGTAAACTGTCTCGTAAAGAGTTTCGTCTCGTAATTTTCCCCGAAGTTTGTTCAAACCCTGATAATTTTTCTCTCATCAAACCGGCTCTGCAAAACCGTTACCCCCGTAATTACGAAAATGACTCTCCTCTTAAATCGAGTGCGTCATAAATTTCGCGACAATTTCGGGACAATTATTTCCAGCAGATGTGGTCGGGATTCCCTCCCGAGAAATACGAAAAAAACCTCTGCATGTAATCGCGGTATGTAACGATCATTCACGGTTCCCCCTGCTTTTCGCGAATTAAGACCGGCAACGTGACAGGAATTCCGAGAGACTTTTCGCGCAGCATCTTTCGAGACTTACCCAGAACTCCAACAACTTCCACACTTGATCCCTCTTCTCCTCGCGAGAAACTGACTCAATCATCAAAAGTGCAGTATGAAAGATTTATCTGATTTTACAATTGCACGGTGGCAACAGTAACTGGAATTATTCGGGGATTTATTGCTCTCACTCTTCCACTTTCTTTGGGATAGACGTTGTGGAGGCATATCCGTGAGGCGTCGATTGTCGAGAAAGGTCAGATGTTTATGTATGCTGATATATACGACACAGGTGGTGCTGGATATTATTCCTCGTTCTGCTCCCTCCATTCATTTTCATTTCTCCCATATTTTCAATGTAATTTTCTCGTCTTTATATACCCTCAAGGGTCATATCCATTATTCTATCGAGCCACATTTACTTCAATTGAATGCCCCTTCCCACTCTTCGAATATCAAATTTTATATATTGACAGTTTAATACTCCCTGCTGGGGGAGTTGTAGAGCGAATTCTGGCTGATCAAATATTGAATTGTTTCCCTTAATTTTATTTTTTTTTTCAATTGCTCAGGCAGCTCACATCAGTTGAAGATTATAATTGGTTTTTATTTAATTGTACTTCCGGTTATAAGTTCAGGTCATGGTAGTTAATTGATAAGCCATCAATTATTTATTTATTTATTTAATTCATTTTTATATCGGTCAATGGAGAATTCGATACTAACGGAATTTAAATTCATAAGATTAAAAATTAAATCGTGTATGGTGTTCTGGATTATGTTGGTATGTTAACAGAAAAATGAAAGTACATTTTACTCCATTGCATGCACAATTTAAAAATAGTAAAATAATTGGTAATTTAAATTTCCAATTGATGATGAGTTAAATATTAAATAATATGGAACTGTAAATTCTCTATTGCGTAAATAATACTAAATGTCTTATAAGGGGTTTCTGATTATCCAAATAATCGTCAGTATTCATAAGTCAATTACTGATTAATAAATAATTCGAAAATTGAATACTTAAATTCATGATTTAAATATTGAAATGAATGTTTTTAATATTTTTTCATTAAAATTTTCTATTTTTTATTTTAATTTAAAAATTAAAATAAAAGAATTCCAAAAAAAACAATTTCAAGCATTTCAAAAAAAATCTACCAATGTCCAATATTCTTCGTTACATTTACAACAAAAAAATGTATATTTAACCCCACTCCCCCCACGTGAATAAAACACCCCCTCCCCCCCAAGTTAATTATAAATCACCGTAATTGTTAATTTTCGATAAGAACTTCATTCAAGCCGCCCATTGAAACTTTGGAGAGCCCCCGAAGTGCTCTCTCGACTCTCCCGCATTAATATACAAATGTAACACGCAGGGAAGATAGGAATACACCGAGCGGGTAAAACTTTGGCTCGGTTTCTTGAAGAGGGTCGTTTAATATGTCATGACTCAGGGTGAATCCCGTTAGGATGTGAACCCGTTCGCAAGCGTATAACTGTTTTAAACGGTGTATCCACACGAAGGGAAGTGGGCGGCGGGGGCGAATGGAAGGGGGGCGGGGGGGGGCTGA